ACACACATACACACACACACACACACACACACACACATCTCTCTCTTTCTCTCTCTCGCCTCCCCCCCCCACCCCTTATCTGAAAGTCAGTACTAACAAGCAACACCAAAAAAAACTGACCTATATTTTCATGCCAAAGCTAACAAAGGGCAACATATAAAAATTTAAAACAGTATCAGATAGTGTGGGGTTAGATTGAGATTCAGTAAGTCACGAGAACATAGCCTACCTGTATCCATCGCTCAGTTTCATGTAGGGCTAATTCCGTGAAGAATTCTAGCTCTTCATCCTCACGAAATTTGATCTCATACTCCGGCTCCTCATCTAGCGACTCGGACGCCATCGCTGTCTTCAAACACACAGACACAAACACAAACGTAAACACACAAGGCTCGTGAGTCCAGAGATCTCAGTAAATAACAGCACAATAAACTTCACACAGGTCTCGAATAAGATCCTTTAGTATTTCACACCTTTGAGCAACACATACGACCTGTTAGGCTATTTATTCGTCTTTCAACAAACTTCAGAATTCCTTCAGATGTTAAATTAAAATTTTATATTAGATCTAGATCTAGACTAGATTTCTATCTAAATTTCTAGGTGATTTCACGCCCTCCATCGACAAAATTCTAAGGTGTGATCACAGCAATGCTATAATACTCTTCGTTTCAATTTAAAAGAACAAACGAAGAAAAAAACCCCACCAAAACAAACGAAACCAAAACCAACAGCGGCACGAATGTATGGAACTGACGCTAAAACATGTGAAACTTGATGCGAGTTGATCTACGTTGGAACTGACGCTAAAACATGTGAAGCTTGATGCGCGTTGATCTACGTACAAGTAAACTTTGCATCACCATACCTAACGATGATAATTAAAACTTGGCACAACAATATTAATTAAATCTTGGCATTACGATGAAGCGAATTCCAAAGAAAAGTGTCGTATCCGGCCACTGTCCTGCCCTGCGGTAAAAACATGCGTCCACCCACAGCGCAGGTAAAAACACTACTGAGTTGTTATGATTGTGTGGCAGTAGTAGCAGCAGCAGCAGTCTTGTCAAGAGATAGGCGTCGTAGTAGTCTAGTGCGGGAAGGGGGGGCCACTGGCCCAGTGAATGCGGGGCGTGTGTTTTGTGATTGTGACAGAGGGGAGCGTGCCTCTATGTGTGTGTGTGTGTGTGTGTGTGTGTGTGTATCTGTGTGTGTGTGTATGTGTGTGTGCGTGTGTGTTTGCGAGTGTGCCTGCGTGTGCGTCAGTCAGTCAGTCAGTCAGTCAACGGGCGAGGGAAAAACACAGGGATGAATGGGACCAGAGGATGGGACGCGGGGGAAATACCACAACCACTAACCACCACCACCACCACTAACTAGGACTACGACGACGACAACCACTGCGGCGCGAAGAGAAGATCAAGACAGAAGGGGGAAGGGGAGAGGGAAGGAAGGAAGGAAGGAAGGAGGGTTGGAAGGTGAGAGGGGGAGGAGGAGGATTTGGGGAAGGAGGTTGGTTG